GGAAGGGGAGGAAAAGGGAAAAAGAAAGAGAGAAAGAGAAGAGAAAGATAGAGAGAGAGAGAGAGATTCGTCGAACTTTTCTTTGTGCGTCTATAAGCGTGCAAGCGCGCGTACGTGCGTGTACATCTTGGTTTTTGGGCCGACGACCTCGCTCGTGAAAGGGAGCCAGCAACGGCAGAAGCAGCGCGCGGTGCGTCCGAGGTCAGTGCTCTCCTGGTCCTCGGCTATCCGTGTCTGCAAGGATTCTCCCTTCGCCTTCGAGGTCGACTGGAATGTCGACGTACGTACGCGCGTATGTACACGCGAATGCGTGAGAAATAATAAGGTGGAGGTGGAGGTGGAGGAAAAAGAAGGATGATGATGAAGGTGATGGTGATGGTGGTGATGATGAAATGAAAAGATCGAACAAGGATGATAATAAGGATGGTAGTGATATGACGATGATGGTGATATGATGATGATAATGATGATGATGATGATGATGATGATGGAGGAGGTGGCTTTCGTTCCTTGGGAAGCTTTATCCTGCTTAGCATTGACCTTGAAATTGTGTCGCCCTATTGTTCCCTCCGCTGACTGCACAACCTCCGTTGCCGGGGTTTACCTAGCGAAGCGACGGACCGCCAACCACCCGTGTCCAGTGTGCGGAAAACACTACGTCAACGAGGGTAGTCTTAGGAAACACCTGGCCTGCCATCCTGAGACCAGTCAACTTAGCACAAGCCTCAGAATGTGGCCGTGCTCGGTGTGCCAAGCCGTCTTCACTCACGAGAGCGGTAAGTATGATCTTCTTTTCTCTTCCAACGATCATCATAATACGTATATATAATGATATAATATAATTCATATAATATAATTCAAGTGCGGGATCATCGTATGCGACGATCAACCATTTCGTTTCTTCTTCTCTTTTTTTTCTTTTTTTTTCTTTTTTCTTCGTTCCTCTTCGCATCGATCTTATACACATCTCGTGTGTATATATATATAATCTTTGTATTTATCGATCGTCGTCGTGCCGCGTCCGTCCGTTTTTACTTTTCATTTCATCGATGGTGTATATATACATACATACATATATATATATATATATATATATATATACACACATATATATATGCGATATCGTCCACGTTTACCTCCACTCCAACTTTCTCGCTACTAATCGAAACACTAATCGAAAAACTCTATCGAGACTCTTTTGCTTTACTTTGTTCCTGTTAAGGTTTGTTGAGTCACATGGAGCACATGAGAATGGACCCCAAGCATCAGTTTGCGGCGCAATACGTTTTAAGTCGCGCCGCCGCCGAGAGGCGAGAGAGAGAAATCCTCGCGTCTTCGAGTTTAGGTATGAGGTTATCGCAAAATTATAATAATCTATGTATATAATATATACATATAGATAATTTTCTTCATAAGTTGTATATCAGTTTCGTGAACGATGATATCGTTTTCAATGAACGTCATCAATAATATCGCTAATTCGATCGATTCTCGTGTACAGGTGCGGGATTGGGAGTGTTGGGAAGTCAAACAGGCGGACCTCAAAATTTGCAACAACCACCAATGTGCCCTTCGCCGTCGGCTCATTCGGACAGCAGCAGTGGAAACGGAAGATTATCGTCAGCCGGTAGTGAACCTGGTACGCTCCGATCTTGTTCCTCGTCTACTTGCAAATGGTCGTCTGGAATAATCGTTAAAGTGTCGTGAATATATATATATATATAGAATATATATACATATATATTCTCCCGAGAGAGTCGAGCAATTTTTTCAACATCATCAACCAACATATATACATTCTCACTCACGTTTGTTCGAAATAATGTATCGCTAATATTATACACTTTAAGTACACATTAAGCGACGAGTTTCGACGAGAAAAACCTAACTACGAGAGTTATTGTAGCGAACATTATTATTATTATTATTATTATTATTACTATCATTATTATTATTATTATTATTACTATCATTATTATTATTATTATTATTATTATTATCACGCTTTATCTGATTAAAAATAAATCATCCACGAATTCTTGTGTGAGTAATTTCGTCATGCTCACTCCGATTTTTTATATAATATAATAATACGTCCGTTTCTTGTTATAAATATGTATATATGTATCCGTATCTATATCTCTGTCGAATAACATAACAATAAAAAAAGAAAAAAGAAAACGAAAAGAGAAAGAGAAAGAAATCAGATCGTAGATCTTGCGATAGATCTCAGCGCGAGATTTTGTCATGTATTTATTATGTAGCGCGCAAAGATATATATATATATATATATGTATATAGATATATGGCTATCGTGTCGATCGACTATGCATATTAACGGGAGCAGACTTTTGCGCAGGTACCGGTCTGCTGAATAACAACAACAATAACAACAATAACAACATGGCGTCACCGGGGCCGAGCGGTAACAAGCTGAGCGAGATGCTACGGGCTGGAAGTCAACCGGGCTCCGCGCAACAATACCACGACGAGATGCAGTCGCAGCAACAACGCATGACGGCAGTGATGGCCGCCGCCGCCGTGTCAGCGGGTAAGGGTTGCGCCGAACCGCTGCTCAGTATTTCCGTTCCAAGTTTCGACGACCGTGATCCACCATGACGATGATCGATCGATCGATCGATCGGTCGCGATCCGCCCGTCGTTCAAGGTCGTCGATATTGCCTCTTATCGAGAGGAAGGGGGCGAGAGGGAGGGATCTCGCTCTCTCGCTCGAACGAACGAACGAACGAGATACTGGCGTTCGATTCGTTCCAATTATTATTACCGATAACCGTTTGATTTATAATTATGTTTTTCCGTGGCCAAGATTTTTCTTATCTGTTATAAATGCGGGGGCCACGGCATCTGTGCACACAACTCGCCCCGATCGTCCCGATCCTCCACGCGAAATACGGTGGCGATAGTTCAACAACAACAACGACGACGACAACGACGACGACGACGACGACAAAGTTTATCTACTCTCGCAATAAGTTTTCTAAGCTGCCCACCGACGAACTACTATCAACCGCTCCTCCTCCTTCTTCCTCCTTCCCTCTCTTTCTCGTGTCGCGTACAGAGATCGGGATCGGGAGGGAGATAATTGCGAGAATATTATTGATTCGTGATGCATGTGTACGTGTGATCGGCAGGTTTGCAAAATTCGGTGTCACCGAATCTGTCGCCGGTCGACATGGCGTCCCTGGCGGCTGCGATGAGGATGGGCAACAACGGTGACATGAGCGGTGGCGCCCAAGGATCGACGGGTCCCCAGCAACAGGGAGTACAAGCTACCGGACCGGAACAAACTCTGAGGATGCATCAGGCGGAAGCGTTGCTGCGCTCTCAAGCCGAAGCCGCGCTCAGGCTGGCTGTACGTACGACGCTACCTACGACGTTTCCCCTACGACGTTTTATTCCCTCCCGTATTTATCCCGGGAGGATAACTCACGATAATACTAAATTTAACACTTACACGTTTTTACAGTTATTACTTACGTTCGTATTTACATCTTACACGACCTCTTTTTTTTTTTTGCGATCATGCAGGTGTCGCAAGCAGCAGCGGCGGCTGCCAGTTCCGCGGTCGGTGGAGACATGAGACATCATTTGGGCCAGCATAACGGGGGTAGCACCTCCGGCATGCCTGGACACCACACGAATCAACAGATGTCTCAGCAAGACACCTTACCGCCTGATCTCGGTAAGTGACGCGTTTCGCACATTCTTATTATTATTATTATTATCGTTCGTTCGACGAAGAGAAAGAGGGAGAGAGAGGGAGAGAGAGAGAGAGATGGAAGAAAGATTCAATTCGATATTCGCAGGGGAAGCGCTGCGATTGCAAGAGCAGCGATTGGAACAAGCCTTGAGGCTTCACGGTGATCCTCGGGCCTTGAGTTTCACCCTCCAGCACGTGGTCAATCAGCAGAACAATCAGCAACCATGAAAATTCAGTTACTACTGAGACGAGTGGACCCCTTGGACGTCGGATCAGACGGGCCTGCAGCAGCAAGTCGAGCGACTGAATCAGCAACCCCTTCAAGGGGTTGTCGAGCGGCAGTTGACGCTCAACGAGCAACAGCAGCAAGGCTCGTCCGGCATCGGTCTTCACCATCATCATCAACAGCAGCAGCAGCAGCAACAACATCAGCATCAACAACATCAGCACCAACATCAGCAGCAGCAGCAGCAGCATCATCCTGAAGATCGTGGCGTCAAGAGGAAGGCCGACGATATGATCGGTAACACTGACAACGTGTAAAAATGAAAACGAGTTGCGCACGTACGAGTCGACGCCGCGGAAAGAAACGCGACGAAACGTGTGCGCGTTTCTTTCCCTTCGTATTCGATTCTACGTCGACTCGTTTCGGCCGAAAAAAAAAAAAAGAAAAGGCGTTCAAGTGTGGTCATCCGCGAAATTATTTCCGTCTCAGCAGTAGGGAAAAAAAAAAAAGACGAACAGAAACGAAAGAAATTATTAATTATTATTAATGTGTATATTCCGAGTGATCCTGAAAAATCGTGCCCCGACTTACGATTATTCAGCGTCAGCATGAGAGCAGGGGAAATTAAAATCCTTATTTTCACCCGGTCCACCCCACCGCGTGGGCGGACCGCGCGACCGGTGAAACGCTTCTCCCCAACGGACATGCATACGCGCATACAGCGACGAGGGAGGAGAAGGTTAACGGTCGATAATACGTATCTAGAAAATCCGTTACACGGTGCGTGAGGAACGGCAACCAGCCGCGGCCAATGGTCTCTTTCTTCTCTCAGCACCGCGCCAATCCCGATCGGATTCGCGCGGATCACGTTGTTCCTACTTACACCATTGCAGGTCCTGGATCCTAGAGTTCCTAGAACGACGACGCTCGAAACGAGAGGAGGCTCGCCCTCGACTTCCCTCCATCCCTTCTTCGAGGAGGGTGGAGGGACGATCAGGGGACCATGCCTCTCCCGAGCGATATTCTTCGTTGAGTCGCTCTTCTCTCAGAATTCGCAGGACGCATTGCCGCGCTGGTCGCCCGGAATCACCCCTGAAACGTGCCATAATTAATATCGGAACGAACGAAAATAATGAAACGAGCAAGGAAGGAAGGAAGGAAGGAAGGAAGGAAGGAAGGAAGGAAGAGAAAAAGAAAAAGAAAACTTGTGAAAGCGCGACTGTCCGGGAATCGCCCCTCCCCCTACCCCTCCCCTCCCTTTCCCTCGGTAGGGAAACGAACCGAAGGAGGGAATCGAAGGGGAGGAGGGAGGAGGGTTGTCGATCTCGGAGCGCGAGTTACTTCTTTTTTAGTACAAGAGCCGAAAAAAAAGGAAAAAAAAAAAAAAGAAAAAAACAACTTAGACCCTAAACCCGGACAAGGCGAAGCCTTGGATACTTGGTGTCTAAGCCTAATCAGAGAGTGATAAGCGTTACCCGATGATGATGATGATGATGATGATGATGATGATCGGGGCTTCTCTCTAGGCTCAAAAAAAACAAAACTAAACTATAACTAGACTTATACATAAACTATACATAACGTACATACCTAGAAGCCACTTTTAAGGTACCCTTAATTCTTAGCTCCCGTAACGTTTAAGAAGAAGGTCGAGGAAGAAAGAGGAAGAAGGAAGGAGGAGGAGGAGGAGGAGGAGGAAGAAAGGAGAGCGGAAGAAGAGAGCAGCGTCTCCGTTAACGCGTGCGATCGGACGGGGATGATCGGTTGTTAATAATCCTCCGTACGTCGTCGATCGGCGAGTACGAGATTGTTACGCGTCCCCCGGGCACGGAAAAAAAGAAAAAGAGAAAAGAGAACAAAGGAGAAGGAGAATGTAAAACGGACGGTCTGGTATTCGCGATCATTTGGCGGGCCGACGACGAATTGGTATTCGCGAACACTTTCGTGGCCGCCAAAAAAACTCGTCGTTGGCCGCCGATCGATACGTGATTTAGCGATGTATATGTGTACACGTACAGAGAGCGGAAGAGAGAGAGAGAGAGAGGAGGAGGAGGAGAGAGAGAGAGAGAGAGAGAGAGAGG